TAATGGAGAGTGAATGTTGTGTGTGCTCAGTGTGTGGCTGTGGGAGAGAGTAAAATACTGACCTTTGGTAATCGCAGGGCATCACAAATCTGTCAGTGTCTGAGAGGGGAGCAAAGGTTCAAATATGTATACGTACTAGCCTGGGTCACAGAATGGCCTGCAGCCCATCTGGTTGACTGTAATTTTAAATTTGGGTTGATGTCTTGCACTCTCTCTCTCTACCTTACTTTCTTTTGCACAGTTCTGTGTAGTCCGAACTTTAGAATCTAAAAGGAGGACAAGGTTTTCTGACGTTGGCTCTAATGTCACTTATCAGAAAAACATTGATGTCATCATGCAGAATTTATAAAGTGGATTTTTCCATTTCTAAAAGTTCTGGAAGTTGTTGTAACTTCTGTGACTTCGCTGTTGTGATGGCCAGTCTCAAACTTGATGATTTTTGATTATTATTAATGTAATTTATTTATTTATTTTAATGTTGAAATGGGCAATTATCTTAAATATTATTATTAAAAATATTGTTTAATTTGAAAAATAATTAATGTTATTTATATAAATGTATTTTATTAATGTTTATTTTTTTTACTTTTCTTTGAAGATTTGTATCTTCATTGTGCTTCATATCATGCATAAAAATACTCTTGTCTGTGGTAAAATAACTCAGTCCCATTTTTGAGGTGCAACATTTTTTAAAATTCGTATATATGGCTATATCTAAAATGCCTATTAGAGTATTAACAGGCCCTGAAAAATATTTAATACACTGTGACATTGTTAGATTCCACACTATAGTGATCACTTCATATTTAATGGCCTGATTGCATTTCTTTTCTTGTGACATTCACACACAAGGTAGTGTTTTTGAAACAAGGTTGAACTTTAAAGAGAACATGGTGTTTTTTTCTGAGAGTGTCATTGTGAAACCCAGAAGAGCTGGTAATGTGAACTGTAATGCAGTGATCTTCAGTGTCTAATGACTGCATATGGCATACATACAGCACTAAAGCTGTGTCTCAGTGTGCATGTCAGCTGATGACTGATTTTTGAGGGTCTCTAGGGAGGGCGGATTGGACCTCATCATCATAAAGTGCATCTGAGCAGAGCACAGGAAGAAGATGTGTCATCACTCTTTCCTGCCAAAGTGCAGACGGTTGGGCAGCAGTGCTATCTGCATGTGTGTGGTAAGAGAGTGTGTTTTTCTTCGTCTTATGTACAAATAAGGCAAAAAGGGACAGATGGCACAAGCTGAGATAGTACCCTGCTCCATTGCTTTGTGTGCTTCTCTTGTGTGTATTAACGTGCTCACACATCTCTAATCCCGTTTTTGCCACCATTTCAACTGTGACTGACCCAAGCATCTTTGTTTTGGATTTAATAGTTTGTGGCATCATTTTATTGCACTTCTGCTAACTAGAAGACAGAGAGTGCCTGAAACTTTTTTTTTTTTGGTAGTAGTATTAGTAATAGAATTTAAGGCTCCTTTTGCACAGTTTCTTTAAATGTAAATAGTGTTTTTGATATTTATGCTAAATCCACACAAATATGTATATCTCTCTGCCAATGGCTCTGAAACAAACGTGTTACACAAACTCTCTGAAACAGGAAGTGGGCTGAGGATTGTCTTGCACTCAGGGTGTGTTGTGACTTTATTAGATAAAGCTTAATCATGCTGGCTTCTCGTTTTACTGCATAGCATTGGCTAATACATAGTAAAAGGTTCTTTCTTTATTGACCAGGGCGGGGATGACCAAAGTATACATTGTACAATAAAACACTTCACAAGCCGATGCAGAGACACATTGCACTTCCTTTTGCAACACATGCTTTGAAATGTGTCAATGCAAATGCAGAACAGTGTTACTTTTATTCCGTTTTGAAAATTGTGTTTTATGCTGTATATCTATTGAATGCATCTTTTCACAGCATGGAATGAAAACAAAAATGTTGGTGGTGGTGTATATGTGTTTGAAACAGAATTTTAAAATGACGAATTTTTAATAAATAATTAATTTCTGCACTTTATTATTATTCTAGTTAATTACCTATAGCAGTTAACGAATCACAAAATAGCCTGGTTTCACATTGAAAAATGAGGTGGATAATCCTAAGCAAATGATTAATGAAAAGATGCAGTTATTCAAGAGAATTTGTTAGAACTCTGTAAAAAAAAAAAATGTGACATTTAAGGTCTCTGCACACTGAGTCCAAAATTTTCGTATGCATTTTTTCGTATTCGAAATCCTAAAAATTCGTCACGCACAGAAACCTTGTACACTGAGTCCGATGCGTATTAATTAATCCGTTGCGAAAAAATTTGCAAAACAGCACTAAATGGCACTTCAAGCAGTGAGGATGATATTGTTGTACTCTCACTTCTTAAAAAAAGAAAGGAAATATTGGGTCCATCCAATCCTGAGATATAGAGAGGAAGGAGAGTTCCCCCTCCTTATTAAGGAGCAGCGGGATTAAGCTGCGTTCACACTAGCAGCGACTTTGTCGCTGCATGTCGCCAGGGGCTGGCGATGAGGTTGCTAGTGGGCGTTCTCACTACTGGTTGCCTTGACAGCGAATCAGGTTTCTTGCCGCTAAATACAAACATTTTGAAGGCAAAAGACTAAATATAATACAAATATGAATTAAATCCGTACATACAAACAAAAATGAATGAGAAACAGAGCCTACTTTTTTTCCATTGTGTATGTTTATCTACGGCTGAGTGGAGAATGATCACATGAGCTCTGCCGTCTTCTTTCCTATTGGCTGTCGCTCCCGAAAGTTGCTCTTCATTTGCATAAAGTTGAAGGATTCTGAACTTTGTCACGTTGCTGGACTGCCCCATCCTTCGCCAACGGCCGCTGTCGCGCTTGTCGCCGGAAATCGCCAGCTCTCCATTGAAATGAATGGAATCGTGTCGCTTTGTCGCTTGTAGTGTGAACGGGGCTTTACACGGGCGATTCAAAGTTTACTTCAGGATGTCAGTGGCTCAGATTGATGCTTTTGCTAGCGATACTAGAGCCACATATTAAAAAGAAGACCACTCATTTCTGTGAACTCAGTGTGCAAGGATCTATATACAGTGCTTTGTGCTGCGAGATGAAGTGGATGAACTTGACAATCGCCATTCTGGATTTTGGACGATTATTTCGGAGGCAGTGTGTAAACGTGATTGACATAACGTGAGGTCGTATTTATTTTTTTACATGCGAAAATTTCGGACTCTGTGCAATGACCTTTACCGTAAAATACCACCTGCTGTGTTTGCCAGACATTTACCATAAAAATATGGTAGCAACATTTCAGGTTTTACAGACTTAATATACCAACCTATTAAAGTACTAGTATCTGTTTTGTACCATACACTGATAACCACCAAAAAGAGGTGGTGATGAGAGCTAATCACAAACAGCTTTTCCACAAGCTGAGATAGTAAATACCAGGGGTGTGGACTCGAGTCACTTGACTCGAGACTTGACTCGGACTTGAGTCCCAAAATTTGACTTGCGACTCGACTCGACATAATTAAAGAAGACTTGAGACTCGACTTAGACTTTGACAGCAAGGACTCGAGACTTGACTTGGACTTGAGCCCTGTGACTCGGAAAGACTTTATGATCAGATCAAAGTCGTTAGGCGCGTCCCT